CATTCTTTGGCACTGCCCTTCTTTGGGATCGGGATGTAGACTGATTTTTTCCAATCCTCTGGCCACTGCTGAGTTTTACAAACTTGCTGGCATATTGAGTGTAGCACCTTAATAGTGTCATCCTTTAAGATTTTAAATAGTTCAACTGGAATGCCATCACCTCCACTGGCCTTGTTGTTAGCCATGCTTTCTAAGGCCCAATTGACTTCACTCTCCAGGATGTGTGTCTCAAGGTCACCAACCACACTATCTGTGTATACTTGCCGCCTCTTCTTGATGTCTTCTGCTTCTGTGAGGTCCCTATCATTTTTGTCCTTTAGCATGTGCATCTTTGCACAAAATGTTCTCTAATTTTCTTGAACAGATCTCTGGTTTTTCCTTTTCTATTATTTCCCCTATTTCTTTGCACTCTTCATTTAAGAAGGCCCTCTTGTCTCTCCTTGTCATTCTTTCAAAGTCTGCATTCAATTTTCTGTAACTTTCCCTATCTCCCTTGCATTTTGTTTCCCTTCTCTTCTCTGCTATTTGTAAGGCCTCATTGGAGAGCCACTTTGCTTTCTTGCATTTCTTTTTCTTTGGGATGATTTTTGTTGCTGCCTCCTGTACAATGTCATGAGCCTCTATCCAAAGTTCTTCAGGCACTCTGTCCACCAAATCTAGTTCCTTAAATCTGTTCTTCACTTCCACTGTGTATTCAGAAGGTATTTGGTTTAGATTACATACCTGACTAGCCCAGTGGTTTTTCCTCCCTTCTTCAGTTTAAGCTTGAGTTTTGCTATAAGAAGCTGATGATCAGAGCCACAATCAGCTCCAGGTCTTGTTTTGAACTCCAAGGCCAAACATACCTGTTGTTCCTTTTATCTCTTGACTCCCTACTTTAACATTCCAGTCCTCTATAATGTATAATGACAAGAACATCTTTCTGCGTCTTCAGCATCGGTGGTTGGTGCATAAACTTGGATTATTGTGATGTTGAAAGGTCTGCCTTGGATTCATATTGAAATCATTCTATCATTTTGAGATTGTATCCCAGTACAGTTTTTCCTGGTCTTTTGCTGACTAGGAGGGGTACTCCAGTTCTTCTATGGGATTCTTGCTCACAATAGTAGATATGATAATCGTCTGAATTGAATTTGCCCTTTCCCGTCCATTTAGTTCACTGACGCCCAGCATGTCAATGTTTATTCTTGCCATCTCCTGTTTGACCAGGTTCATAGATCTTACATTCCAGGTTCCTATGCAGTATTTTTCTTTGCAGCATTGGACTTTCCTTTCACTTCCAGGTGTGTCTGCAGCTGAGTGTCCTTTCGGCTTTGGCCCAACCACTTCATTAGCTCTGGTGCTACTTGTCCTCTGTAGAAGACCTCAGTAGCATGTTGGACACCTTCTGACCTGAGGGGCTCATCTTCCAGCCTCATATCTTTTAACCTTTTGTTTCTATCCATGGAGTTTTCTTGGCAAAGATACTGGAGTAGCCTGTCCGTCTTGGGTGTCCCTGCACTGCATAACCCATAGCTTCTCTGAATTACTCAGGCCCCTTCGCCACAACAAGGCAGCAATCCATGAAGGGGCTAGGACTCCTATTCACTGCTAAATAAGTAGGGCATTGTTGTCCATACAGGTCAATTGCTTACCCACACAGGACATTCAGCTTCTGTCTAATGCATAAGTATTCACAATGGTTAGCAACCTATCACTGTAACTGCTTTACACAACATTTTTGATACTTTTAAATATAATATATTTATCCATAGTGCAGACATTCCTGCAGCTGCATATTACAGTTCTGCACTGGATAGACCTGTCAGCTCTATCAAGATGACAGACTCCTTCCAGGTCCCCCCAAAATCTTACAAGACAGGGTAATGTTCACACAAGGGACTTGTTGAGGTTGGTCAGCTGGTAATTCAAAAATGTGTGTTATGCATATTTTATTTAACATTCTTTTGAATAAACTAGAGCAATGGTTCTCCAACTTTGGTCCCCATATGTTCTTGGACTGCGACTCCCAGAAAATCCTAGCCAGCACAGCAAGTGGTGAAGGCTTCTGGGAATTGCAGACCAAGAAAATCTGGAGAACCCATTTGAGAATCAGTGAATTAAAGGGCTGCAACCCTATGTTAACAAGGCTAGGTCAGATGAATCACATTTTGCCCTTATAAACAGAAACAGAGGGAAGGAGATTCTCTTACACCCTGGAAAAGTTATGCGTTTGGATTATAACTCCCAGATTTTATTTTGTTGTTGTTGTTGTTTTTGATCATGAACATGATGTTGGAGGAGGATTATAATGGCCAGGATGCTTTGAAGGACAGATTTACTGGAGGATATTCTGTGCTTATTTTGCAGTAGAAGGAGTTATAAATGGCTGATAAGTGAAAATTCTGCTGCTCCATATATTTTCCTCTCAGATTTTAGGAGGATGAAGATTTAAATTCATCAGTTTTCTTTATTATTTCAGGAAATAATGTTAGTATTGTCATGAGAATTGTATTTGTAAAAATGGAATGGCTGCTTCAGTCACATGACAACTTTTCTTGTGTATTCCTGCCTACTCCAGTGTACAGAATTGGGGCTTTGACCCACCGCTCTGCCACTGATGGCCAATAAGCTTCAATAAGAGGTTGGAGCTAGAGCTTGACTGAATATAGAAAATCCTTAATAAAACATTTCAGTTTCATATGTTGTTTGTTGTTAATCAAATGAGTATTTAAACATTAGAACACCAGATGCATTTTGCCATGACTGATGCTTGCTTCAGACATAAAAGAAGCCCAGCTTTTGTACATCCAGGGAGCAGGTTTTATTGAGTAGACGAGTAGGGGTAGGGGTCAATATGTCTCTGTGCCAGTTGCTAAGAAACATGAGTGGGAGCATGCTATGGTATTCACGCCCCACTTGTGAGCTTCCCTTAGGCATCTGACTGATGTGAGAACAGCAGCAGTGTCATCTACCATGGATATTCTGATGACAAGCTCACATTTGCATGCATACAATAAAGACAATGAGAAGCTGAACTCTCACTTTTACACCCTCTTTGGGATGATGTTTTCACTGGATAGGGCTACTCAACCCTATGCATGTAGGAATGCACCAAAACCTAGTGGCAGAGCAATCTTGCTTGCATGAAGAAGACCCCAGGTTGAATCCCACATGTATTCAATTATGAATATGAAAGATTTCTGCCTCAAACCCTCAAGAGCTGCCATCAGAGAGTGTTGCCAATAGTTGAGACAAAAGGGCTGGTTTAGGATAAGGCAGATTGCTACACCACGCACGTACAAAATGTAATGCTGCTGGGTTTTTTAAAAATATAATGGTACTATCAACATTACATGGCAGAAAGCAAATTTGCTGCTTTAGCAGCTTCACCAAGTGCACAAACCTTTTTCCTAATATACTGCAATATACATAATTACTATTGCTTTGATTGCATGAGGTCGTATGAAGATTCTGCCTTGGGACATTTAGTTTGATTAGATGGCCTTTTGATCTCTTGTAGATGCATGATACCAGATTGCTGGGGGACAAGGGAAGGCACTCCCTTGAATTACAACTGCAGAGAACTCTCAAAACATCAGCAAACAACCAATTCCAAGATTATATGGAACAAAGCCATGGCTATTGAAGTAGTATCAAAGTGCTATAACTGTGTCTCACAAGACTCCATGTACTCCACAATTCCTCCACAGATTTCCAGATTTCAGTTATGCAAGCTATAGATTGCCTCCTGGAAATGCACAAGGGGGTAGTGAAAGCTTAGACCACTGTGTGCAAAAGGCCATTGTGTCCACAGAAGAAACAAACAGGATTGGGGCCAACATTCTTAATTAATTAATTAATTTTACTTTCACCCTGCCCATCTAGTGGCATTGCCACTACTCCATAACAGCTAGAGAGTAAATCTCCTTTCACAATGATTTATTATGCTTTTTAAAGTGTTCTTTGTACATTTATAATGTTTTATGACAGTTGAAAACTTTAATATTTTCCCCCTCCCCAACCCTGTACTTATTACAATGATTTGTTCTAGAGTGATAAAAAATAATATTGACCTTCTAAGATTCCTCCAAAAATTACTAGGGCTATTATGATCTGTTTTCAAACACTTAAGATATTACTGTGAATGTTAAGATTATTATTATTCTATTATCAGTGAAGGATTTTGGCTTTTAAAAACAAAAAGCAAGACATTTCAACAAAAATCTTGTTTATGTTACTTCCCCGTGATATATTTAGAAACAGTAAGCTATGAAGTTGAGTCCCAGCATTAATAACTTTCCCAGCTAAATCGTGCAAAATGTTTTCTGGAACAGTACAGCTATTTGCTTCCAAAGGTATGATTTTATCCATTGAAAAATGCAGAACTATTTGGGAGAGAGAACACTAAAAAAATACATAAAGAGACTTTGAACCATAGCAAAGAAACTTCAGGAGACCTAATGCAATTCTAGGCAGTGCCAATGAAAATCCTTTGGTGCCAAAAGCTTCCACTCAACTTGCTTTACCCGTGCAAAAAGCAAATCCACAACATGTCCATAGATCCAGCATTCTTCCAAAGCCTACAGAATCCACAGACTTCAGGCCCAGGCAATTCACACCCTTCCTGAGATCCCATATATTTGCCGACCCAAGATCCTACTTATATTCTTTGTGAACCATTTTCTTCCCTTTTCCAAAGTTTGGTTTGAGTCCTGCAACCTGTCTAGAAAGGCCTCTGCCACCCCACGATGTTTCCTGCAAAAGCCTGACAGCATCCGAACACCCACACCACCGATGTACAAATTGGAACAGGCCTAGATTTCAGTATCTTCTACAGACTTATGAGCACCTCCTTGCTCTCAGTCCTGATTCCTGGATTGCAGCAGCCCTCAGATTCTACCTACATATTATTAAATCATTTAACTTCTCAAAGTGATCCATACTTTCCCAAGGGCAGGGGTCCATTAGGTGCATCTTTACTCCACTAGTTCAAACAACCTCATCAAAATAATGCTCACCTTTCCAAAACCTCTACTGGATGAGGAAGAGATTGGTCAAGACCCCATCATTGACACATCACAACAGAATTTTTCTTCTGGTCCCACATGACAGGGTAGAAATTCATGGACGTACTACTGCAGAAGATTATCCAGTAAGGTTGGGGACACCAAAATGCTGGGTTAGGTCTGTGGGCAATCACTCCCCTAGTTTTACCTGGTCCCGTAGAATGAACCAGGATCCTCCATTTTGGCCCACAACATGATAACCAGGCAGCAAAGGCACATACAATCCAACTGGAAGGCCCTTCTCCATCACTTGTGCGAAATACTGAATATGTAAAACTGTAACTCGAGCCAGCTGGAATTTTAAATCTTGGATTCCACAGAGGTAACAAATTCTCTCACAGAAGATAGCTTCAGCACAAAGGATGCTTTTCTTTCCCTAGGCTTTAATTATACAGGCATGCTGAGATATTTTTCATCTGTTTTGAGCTATCTAACGACTGGTCAAATGGGATATTTTAACAAACCATCCCCAGCTCCTAAAGGAATCTACAGCAGCACAATGTCACCAGTGTTCAGCAACTATTTTATTTTTGAAAAATTAGAATGCATCTACCTACACGGCTCCCTGAAAAGACAAACATGTTTCTGGACTCTTTTCCCGTTTCCCTGAAAATAAGACCTAACCTGAAAATAAGCCCTAGTATGATTTTTCATGATGCTCATAATATAAGCCCTAATCCAAAAGTAAGCCCCAGTTAAGTGAAACCCTGCCCTCCACCACTGTGCAGCAACCAGAAGATGACATGACTGTATCTGAATAAATGTAGATTGTTGTACATGGGGAGAAAAAAATCCCCTGAAAATAAGCCCTAATGTGTTTTTGGAGGAAAAACTGATATAGGCCCTGTCTTATTTTCGGGGAAACACGGTAGTTGCCTTCACATGCGTTAGACTTTAACTCCTATCCCTGCCATCCAAGAATGCTGGCTGAAGTTACATGTGTACTTAACAACCTGTGTTTCTATTAGCATTTAATATCACTACCCTGCATCTGGAAATCCTGAACTTCCCAAAACACTAGAATTATATCCGTAGGAGGGATAGTTCCCTACCACCGACCAACCTTGGAGCTGCCATTCAAAATAACTGGAGGGCATAACTCTCATCTACAGAACTTTAAGCTACATAATGTCTACAGTAGCTACTATAAAATCATATGACTGTCAAGAGCAGCAATAAAAGAACTATAATGGAGTAGGAATACAGTAGATGCTTCTGTCTGTAATATGATCAGTTTTTATGCCATGAAAAACTGGAATAGCATAATGGGTAGGGAACTGTGTTCTGAACCAGAACATTTTTTTTATTTTTAATCACTAGCAGCTGGATCACATTCCCCCACAATGCCTGAGGTCCAGGGTGGATTAAAATCAATGATTTTTTTTAAAAAAGATCAAATTGATTTAAATTGTGATTTAAACCACGAGTTTAATTTTAAAAATACTGTTTTGTTAAATTTTAAAAATAATGTTTTGTTTAAACCATCAGAAAATTCCACTATTAAAATGTAAATTGTGATTGCAATCAATTTGATTAAATCGAGCAGTGGTTCCCAGCCTTGGGTAACCCAGATGTTCTTCATCTGCAATTCCCAGAAGCCCCGGCCAGCACAGCTGATGATGAAGGATTATGGGAATTGCCTTCCAAGAACACCTGGGTTACTCAAAGGTGGGAATCACTGCTCCAGATGAATATATGTTGGGCAAATGGCACCAGTCACTCTGAAGTCCTACTCCGTAGCAATAATTCAGTGAAGATCAAGCCACACACTGTATTACAAGGAGTCCAATTTTAAAAATGGGCAGGAGGTTATCAATATGTTAATTCTGCTTAAAGCTTAAGCAGACAGACAGAACAGTATCTCAAAAAAGGAGATAAATAGTATTCCGTTTTGTATATTTTGTTTAGTTCTCCATGAAGACAGGAATAAAAAAGATTCAGGATGAGGAATCCTCACTCTGATGTCTGTTATCAAGAAACACCTGTACATTAGCCGCACGACAATTTGCACCTCTAACCCATTTGTAAGGAGAATGGGGGATCATTAATAAATGGATCTGTTGTTCCAAGCCTTGCATTTTTACAGGGAGGATCAGTGCAGCAGCTTCTAGCACTACTGCAGCTTGGCAGGTTAGCAGAATGTAGGGAAACGTGGCAAGGGAACACAACAGACCCTGGGAATGAAAACAGCAGGCCTGCCTCCTCCAGACAGCAAGAGAACTTTCTTTGCAAACTCCACAGTTTTCATTCGGGAATCACTCCGGTTCCACTCCAGAACCACTCCCATTTCTTTTGCAGTGAGTACCAACAACCAGAATCGAAAAATCTGACGCCACGGCAGCAGGATGCTTTCCAAAACACCGCCATGAACTTTTTCTGCAGACATTCCACGAGATTATACTTCTCACCAGAAATAGGCACGCATCCAATCTATCCTATACTGTACAGTACAAGCAATATGCATGAGCATCGTAGGTGACATGATTTCAATGGAATCCATGCACTTAAGCCCCCACCCAGCATAAAAATAGAAACGCTGAAACCTGCTAATATCAATTAAGTTTAAGAGCACCTAATTCTACCTTAGATTCTGGCTAGAAACCTCCACCTGAAAAAGCCAAACACACGGAACTAGACCTTATGAAAACTACCCAAAAATGCAGCCTTTCTACTCTTTTTAAAGAGTTGGGCGTCTTTTTAAAACCCCTAATGACACCACCACCATCCCCAAGACACAAACAGCCAGTTTGTTTCTGAAGGGATTTACACACACACACACACACACACCAAGACACACACAACCAGTTTGTTTCTGAAGGGATTTGCTGAGCCGACAAAAAAGAGCAGAATGGGCTCTTGCGCTGGCATCTGTCCGGGGTGTGTGTGCCTCGACGCATTTTTTCACCATGACACCAGCGATCCCTCCAGCAGCGGCTGCCCACCCACTCGCAGCCTTAGGAATCACGGCTGCACCCAGGGGTGCCGAAAAGCAGGGAAAGGGGAGCCTTTGCCGCCCATAAAGCCAGCCCAACTTTTCCCCCGCCGGGTGGGCAAGCACCAAGAGGGAAGGAGGGAGAGAAGGAGGGATGGAGGGAGACCCCTTTTTGGCGCTCGGCTGCTTCGCGGCGCTCGCTCTCTCTTCGGAGTTCAGGCGCGTCAGGGGAACTTTCTTCCCGCCAGCCCGCCTGCCA